CTTTTTAACACCAGGTTAAGAAAACAACAGAGGCTACCCTGCAGACAATACAAGATATGGTCACCATTGAAGACTATGATGTGTCAGAATGTTTCCAGCACAGTCGCTCAACAGAGTCTGTGAAGTCAACAGTCTCTGAGACATACCTGAGTAAGCCTAGCATTGCAAAAAGAAGAGCTAACCAGCAGGAAACAGAGCAATTCTATTTCATGGTATGTTGGTTGCTTCCTCATTCATGTGATACAGACCAAACACCTGAAGTAAACATTATGCAGAAGTTCCTGGAATTTATGTGCCATACATAGTAATAGATTGATCTGCATCTCTACAGAAATTCAGAGAATATCTGGAAGGTAGTAATCTCATCACAAAACTTCAAGCAAAACATGACTTGCTGCAGAGGACACTCGGAGAAGGTAAATATCACACAATAAACTGAAAAGTGATTCCAGACTTTACAGTGAACCCACTGAAATGCAAAGGTATGCAGGAAAAAAATTACAAAACTTAACACTTAATTGTCCAGTAAGCATAGATTTGATTTTTACCAGTCATAATTTTGGTGCAGTGGTAAGAGTACGCACTATAAATTGATTTTATTTCTTCAACAGATATTTATTTCCACTGCGCAGATGTTTAGACAAGTGACTATATTTGGAAATGGAACTGTTGAATGAAAAATCTCGTGTCTGAAAGGAGAGCTGACACAGTCAGTGCAGGGTGATTTAAGAGCTGTGACAAATGTATGGTTTCCACTTCCTAACGATTTCTGTTGACTTGAGGTTTCTTTAAGAGTTGGGGGAGAGTGATGGTTTTTTAAGCATACAGAATTATCCAGGATGCATCTCTGACAATGGACTCACTAGTGCAATATTTCTGACACGTGGACATGAATGTCCTTCTTGCAGCCTAACAACTCAATAGAGCATTTATGAAAGGTAAAAGGTGAAATCCTGACCTCACTAATGTCAGCAGTGAGGCTCTTATAGACTTAATTTAATGTTGGGTTTCTACAAAGTATTTGCATATCGTAAACTGGAATGACTGAAAACTTAACAAGTAGCCCTATACCTGTTGATTGTCATTATTGCATATAAAATTATCGCATTACAAAAAAAAATTATTGAGCTACAAATTATGATAGCAGAGAATTATCCATTGTCCTGAACACTCTCCACAGTTTTTAAAAATACATCTTAAAATATAAACCAAGTCAGCAGATGTCCATGATCAAATGAAGTAAAGCTGAATTAGGGCAGTAATGGATCAGGCACTATGCACAGTTCCAGCCCACCTCTTACCAGCCCTCCCAACCGGCACTTCCTCATCGACCAAAGGGAAAAGGAGAATCACACTGCAAGGTTTGAGGACTAGCCACACAGAGCGTTACAGACTTGAGAGGAAGTGAATTACACCGCAAAGAGTAAAAATCCTCTCCTGAAGGTTAAAGACTATAATTCAAAGTTCACTCAAGAAAGGAAACTTGCTCTCTAAAGAGTGTCTCGAAAGGATATGTCAATTTATTTTCTTTTTACTGCCAAAAATCTGTTGTTAATCAGATCTCTTCTTGCTCTTAATACAAAAGCCCAGATCCACAAATCCAGTTGTGGAGGTGCCTAAAGAGCTATTAACATTTCAGTGGCTATGACCCAAACAAAACCCCTGTCCAGGGAGTGACTGAGGTTGGGGGTAGGAAATAAACAGCGTTTTCTTGCAAGGCTGGACTGTAGAAGATGGTAGCTGTTTTTAGACAACTAACTACATTATGTTCTTTCTCACGGAAGTTTTCATTTAGTAGGATTTTTTTTTTTTAATGTGTGCGTTGAGCAGTTTATTCACGCAAAACAATGTGCAGCTGATGTTAGTCAAAAAAGAGGAAAATTTTCCTCCAAAGGCTCACAGAAAATGTATTTGGAAAAATTAAGTGAATGTTTGTTATTTGGAAGCCCAGTAAAATGCATGATCATGTACTGAAGGGAGAAACATAAACGGCAACAGAGTCTGTTGCCTAATGCATGTTGGAAAGAAGTAAGTAAAGAACTACGTGAAAGGAAATCCAAAGAAAAACTTCTCAGCAGGATGACCTAAGTGATAAATTGCTGTCAGGCTCTGGGCCATTCTGTTTGAAGAGTTCCCTTCGACCCACCAGCTGTAACCCCAAGTAGTTAATCTGTGTTGCCCACCGTGGTTTTGCACATAGTTGTTGCATAATCATAGCATAGCACGTACAAATAGTACCCCCAACGTATACATCCACATTCAAAGCTGATACTTGGAGAAAAAACCATCATTCTTACAGGTTAAAAAGTTAAAGTACCCCCTTCTATTGAGACATGTCCTGCATTACAATGCACATGCCTGGGAAGGAGGACCTGGATTCTTGAATGGAGATGGCTGAAAGGGTAGAATTATGGTGGGGTTAAGAACATTATTGCTGTAGCTAGTATAGAAATGAATTTTATAGGAAGCGAGCTGCTCCCCTGCTCCACTCAAGCTGCCTTTTCTGGCAGCTTTAATGTCAGCAACACAGCAGACAAATAATACAGGGTGCTGTGTTAAGTAATGCAGAGGAGAAGGGGGGAAGAGGGAGAGGATTGTCTCAACTGCAAGTTTTCCTTTGGCAACCTCTCTTGCTTTTATTCAAACCTGTACAATATAAGGATGTAGGCTGAATAAATCCAGATTCCAGTCTGGTGTCCACAACATTGACAGCATTTGGCTTCTGTTCCAGTTCATCACCTACCTACTACAGTCTGTTGCTGTTTATGGACACAGCAGATATATATTCATGATCTGCACAAGGGAGATAGATGAAGTGCTCTGTGCTGAGTCTGCATCTACAAATTTGGAAAAGTAAACGAGAAATACTCAAATGAAATTGATACTAAACATAGGAAGTACACTGATACTCACGTTAATTCTGATCCAAGACTCATCTATTGAATGAAGAAAGCAAAGGGAAATGCAAGAAAGAGAATAAGCAGTTGTAAAAGAAATTGCCTCTGTGTCCCAGATAGTTTTTGCCCTAATCTGTTAAATACCAGAGATGTGTTTAAAATCCCCCAGGCTTGGGGTTTGTAACATCTTTTGTTTTGCTAGCATTTATTATTGGGATTCTTAGTCTCAATGAACTTTCCGTGGTTACATGAGTAGGGAGAAGCCCTTGCCTTCCCCTTTTTCTGTCATAGGTTATTTTACATACTCTTCTTTCATCCCTCTTTTTCACCTCTTTAAAATAGATGTCAACAATCTTCACATGTCTTATTAATGCCAGAGATTTTTCCCAGAGCTTATTCTTTGTGCCACCTTCTGCAGATCCCCACTCTTCTGGTACTGGAAAATGTATTTTCAGATGAGGGTTTTCAATACTGTGCAGTATTTCATGTGCACCTGGACATTTCCAGATAATATTATGTTTTGCATATCACTGTTTTTCGTTCTTTCTGCAATCTGACAAGCTTTTTTGGTGTCACTTTCAAATTGAGTGATGTACTTAGACCTAGCCCAAGTGATGCTCAGAGTGATTTTCAGAGTCAGTATAATTATCTGTGTTCTGTTAGCTGCATAGGTGTTTAATGCTTTCTTCCTTAATATCTTCCTTACTGTCAATACTGAATTTCATTTGCCATTGTGTGCCTTGTTCCTTAACATGGTTAGACCTCTCTGAAGGGCTTCACAGTTTTGTCCGGACTTGATACAAAAGTGTTTCAGTCATCTGCACAATATTCTGCCTCCTTAGCTGCTGTGATCTCCCCAAGACATTAATAAATGTGTTATGTATTACGTAAATGGCCCTAATGGGAAGGCTTGGGTAAATGACTGTTACACTTTTGTCATGATGAAAAAAGACCATTTAATTCCACTCAGTTTTCCCTTTTCTTCATTAGTTTTTGATCAATGAGAATATTTTGCCACTCAGTCCTCGGCTGTTTAGTTGCTTTAGTCGCCTCTTGTGAAGAAACTTATCAGGGGCCTTTGAAAGTCTAAGTAAATTAATTCAACTGATTCTCCTTTATACAGTATTTTACTGACATGTTCAAAGAATTCTAATAAATTAATAGGGCACAATCTCCCTTTGGGAAAACTAGGCTGATTGGAACTTATCATAGCATGACCTTCCTCCTGTTTCATTATTTTGCTTTTCATTATCATGAGTTGACACGATGCACATGCCTAACTTACTGGTCTGGTTTTGTGCAAAGGTTATCCCGGAACCTTTCTGGAATACGGTATTTGCTTCTTTACAATTCTCTGCAGTTCTCTGTGGTGTTTCCCAGTGGTAGCGTTGTATTTTTTTCCTGCAATACACAGACAAAAGAGGGGAAGGAGTCTTTCAATAGCAAGCCATGTCTAGAGCTCTGTATTTTCAGTACTGAACAGGTTTAGACACAAGGCACAAGGGGAGATGTAATCTAATCTTGGCGCAGCTTTATTTCCATACTGATTTAGCCACTAAAACACATGAGCACAAACAATAGACATTGTTTGGAGTTTTACTTCAAATTATTTACAGTATCAAGTGACTCTTTAATCTGTGGGTAGGCTTCTTAAAGTTGTTCCATAACATGGGTTGTGTTTGTATTTTAAATGTAACTGTGGAGATGGTAGATAACTGCACTGCCCTGTTTGTTGTATAATTATGTATCTTTTGCTGGTAACATGAAAGTTAGGGTTAAAAGTAATTTGCCAAGTGTAATTTAGATACAAAAAAATCTACCTAAAACCTGCAAATGATTGTTTCCTGTTTATTGAACTTTTCTAGGTCACAGGGCTGAATACATGACAACAAGGTAAGATATTTTTATTTTACTTGATTTAGAGTTACAAATGTAATAAAATCTTAGAAATTACAAATTTTAGAACAAGTTCATAAGGGTATATAACATTGTTGCTGTTGCTGTTATTACATAAACTGTGTACAGGCCCTGTGTGTTTTAACATTCAGCATTTCTGTTTCTGCATGCTGATGGGTAAGGGACCAGACTGTTCATCGTCCTCATTCTTGTGAGCTGCTTAGGCCAGTGTCAAGGGTGGGACAAGCTGGGAGATCCTTAAAAATATTTGTGAATCACACATCAAATTTGGAAGTTGCAGGGGGCTTTTTTGTGCTAGAAAAGAAATATTTTTCAGTTGCTGGAGATACCTTGCCTCTCATGGTTTGTAATTCACTTGGTCAGGATACACAGTTCAGAAGAACCTGATATAGAGATGAATTTAGGGGATAGGCTGCATCTTTGACAACCTAGCTCTGGACAGGAATACCTGCCTCCCCCAGCATCCATGTGTTTTATACTTAAATGGGTCTATATATTCACAGAAGAGAAGGCATACAGTGTCAGATCTCCCTGCTTTGTGCAGCACATATTTTTTCAGTTGTGTAATGCCACACCTGCAACGTAGCCTCTAGACGTATAAACACAGAGGAGTGCTGAAGCCCCCAGGGTATCAGGCTGTGGGGGGCAGTGGCAACTGTTTGGATTTGCAGCTGCCGCTTGTGTGTATCACCACTACAGGCACCGCCCTTCCCATCCTGGTGACAGCAGGAACATCCAGCCCAGCTTTCCTGGTCTGACTCTTCCCTTCCTTTTCCATGCAATACATCCTTGCTCAATGCCTTCTCTTTCTCCTTTTTGCTTCCTTACGCAACCCCAGTTGAAAACCGGTAACAAATGAGAGCATTCTTCCCAATTGCTGACATCAATTCTGAGACCTGTGCCTTTAACTTTAACTCTGTGCCCAGGTGCTACCAGGAATGCACAAAAGTCAGCAAGCTTATGTCTAATGAGAAAAATGTTCTTTCTTGACTCCAAAGCAGGTGACTCATCAGGCTCACATCATCCTAAATTCCCTGCTGTGTAAGCAGCTGAAAGAAGATGATGGATTTAAGCAATGATTTTACCTTAGTAAAGTGGAGGAGCAGCTTGAAGCCATTTACCTCCTATCTTCTCACAGCTGGTCACTTAGAGGAAGAAACTCTGAGGGAGTAGGGCCTGCCTGTCCGTTCCTCAGCACCAGTTCCCCGGCTCCGGCTGGGACCTGCCTATTGTCCCAAGGTTCAGTTAAGTTTCCAGACTGTAAGACATGTAAACGAAATGTTCTTCAAGGTCAAAGTTAAATTGTAGAAGGGAAGAGGATATCTTTAAAGATGAGTTTAAAATAGCAGGTAGTACCCAAACAGGCCAAAGTCCCACCACTTAATGTTCTATGCATTATTGTTCCTCACTGTTTCCCCCAAAACATTTGATTTTTTGCTAATTCCTGAAAAATCTGTAGAAACATTGGAGTGCTGGTGCAGGGGAACTAGAGAAGCTGTTGGCAGGTAGCGTGCCCTGACATTCACAACATAAATTGTGACCTAGAGAACAATATTTATTTCCTGTAATCTCTTTCACTTGTAGTCACCACATGTGTAACACATTAGGTAAACATTTTGCAGACCAGAGTTTTGTGTGTTCTTCCTTTTCTTTTTTTGTGTTATGCTGCTTTTGTTTATTTGTTTCAAGTTGATGATATTCTTTTAATTCCTTTAGCTAATTTGCAAGGTGTTTCTTTTCTTGTGTGAAGTTGTTGATGGTTGGATGTGGAAGGCTTAAGCTGTTTAACCTTCCTGGCTCTAGTCGAAAATGCAGACCATTTGGTTTTGAAGCATCTTAAGAGTGTGCTGAGCAGCTTTAATTTGCATTTGAAGCTTCTCCAGTATGAAGCAACTTTTCTGCTTGATAAGAGGTGCTTCCAGTGGCCTGTGTTCTGCCGCTGTGTGGCTGGCAGGATGAATTCCAGTGGTTGCTGCACATTTCATGCATGACCGCAACAAAAAAGGCCATTCCAATTGTGCAGTGTTTGGAATAAATGTATATGGTAAAACTGCAAAGCAGGGATTCATAAAGAATTACAATATTTATCCGTAAGTAATGCATTTTTAATGGAGGAGTTCTCCGCTCTTTAATCACTGTTACACTTAAATTTGATGGAAAGTCTTTATTTGATAAGTACTGTGTTTATTTCTCCCTTTACAATGTTCTGTTGTTTTGCCATGAGTTTACAGACATTTCATTTTATTGTGTGACTTAATTCTACTTTGCTCAGTAATCATATTCCCTTCCCTTAGGCCTCCAAATCTTCCCCCTAAGCCCCAGAAACACAGGAAGCCCAGACCCCGATCACAGTATAGTGCTAAGTTGTTTAATGGTGATTTGGAGTCATTCATCAAGGTACTGGCACCAGCCACCCCAGTGGCTGATCTCAACACTTCTTGCTATAATGGTCGCCACCTCACGTGAGCTGAGGCAGATCATTATGTTTAAGTCTGTCCTGGGGCTCTTTTCTTTCCCGGTTGATCAATATAATACTTCCTGAAGTCAGAGGGAAAAAACCTCCCTACGCTTTTGTTAATCAAGTAGGGATAGTATTGGCAGCCTGGTTTTATTAGGAAACTTAGCATCATGTTGAAGATAGGATGTAGTGGTGCATCCCACGACTCAGCACAATTTCCTGCTTGCCATTTTCATTATGTTCAGTGTTCAAAGTCTGTGGAGAAGCAGTATTACCCTGGGTTTGATATCCAGCTTTTGATTTCCTATGACTTTAGGAATTTATTATATTGTGTGAAATTGTGATCACCGCTATTCTGGATCTTGTATCTTTGCTGTATTTACTATCTTCTTCTTTCTCATACTTTTATTTCTAATAATGCTTCTAGCCGAGGCCGAAGGAACTCTCACACGAGACATCAGGTATAGTTCTGGTGACAAGAGAACCATCTCCGCCTCGCTCTCGGGTTGCATTCACGCCTGTGTCAAAATCAGTTCTTTCAAAGACCTGGAGGGAGAAGTTTGCATTAAGAAATGAGTGTACGAGTACAGCAGGCAAAACTGAACCAGAGCACAACTCTGGAGTGATTATAGACTTAAATGATGGATATTTCCTTATTCATTCATCACAGTCAATTAGTGCCTCTGGACACTAGCTGACAGAGCCAAGGGAAAGAAATCTTAAAAAAAAATGTAACAATATATTTATAAACACAGTGAATGAAATTCCTGACTGCAAGCTCTGTGAACTGGGTTTGAATGTTAGAGGGATTTTTTTTTCTTCTGTGCAACATAGCTAGCAGCAAATATTTTGCAGAACAAATTCTGTGCTCAGTGACAACACACCAGTTTAGCTGTCTTTGAATCAAGCTTTCAGCCACCCTCAGTACAACTATAGAGAAAGCTATTATTATTATGCAGGTGGTGCTGTGAGGGGCAAAGACTTTCAGGAAATCATGACATGATGCAAGAGATGAATATCATGAACAGTTTCTTGCAAAGAAGCAGAAACTCCCACAACAAAAAGCCCATGGATTAGAGAAGCACAGAGCAAATAGGAGAAATGGTACCCCGTCATTTTCCCTCACAGAGAAGAGCGTTATGCTACATGGCAGTGTGGGTGACAGGGCTTACTGGCAAGTGGGGAGTACTACATAGTTAGTCTTTCAAAAGGAAAGGGGAAAAGAAAGCTGGTAGCCTTATGACAGATTCACCAGCGTGGGAGCTAACCTAGGAAAGCATCCCTGCCCAAAGACCGTGTCATTCCTGATAGGGAAGAGTCATTTTGACAGGCACAAAAGGATTACAGCTAGTGAAATACAGCATCACACCAAATTGCTTTTTGTTACATTTTTGCATCATAAGGAATGATAATTAGTCCCAAACATACATTCACTGACTACAGACATCAGATTAAATTCACAGCAGCCGTATGTCACTGTTCTTGATATTTCACCAACGCAGATTGTTACTTCAAATTATTTTCCTGTCATTAAATCCAAAATCCAAAGCTGTTAGTTTAGATTGTTTCAGGGAATTACTTAACTACAAAGTTGTGCGCGGTTCTGAACAGATTCTCCAAAACCGGGTATGCAAGTAATTTATTTTTTTGTAATTTCTTACTGCAAACACTATCTTTTCCGAGGCTTTACATTCTTTGCATGAGCCAGTGTACTAACAGGAGATACGGGTGCATGTTGTGCATGTTTTCTAATACTCTGCTTTTTTGGAGAGCCAGGCTGCTCAGTGTTGGTGAAGATGACAGTATTCCTGGGTTTAGCAACTAACCTGTTCCATGAGGTTTTTTTTATTCAGCTGTTACTGAATCATGACACAACTCAAACAGAAGGTGCTTATCCAGACATCACTGGTTCTTGGCTAGCCAGTCTTTGCTAGATTTTAAGTTAAAAGACAAACAAGCCACAATTTAAATAGCATAATTAGCAGTACAGTCTTTTGTAAGCCCCACTAAAACAGCATGGAGTACACAGAAGATCCGGGGTTAGGTGATCTCAGGAAATGCATTGTTTCATTGCTTCACTGTGTGTTATTTTTCAAACTTTTTTTAGTAGTTGGCTTTTCTTCTACTTGGGCTTAATTCATAAACTTCCCATTAGTGTAATTTAGCATGAAAATGAAGGACTAGTTTGTAACAGGAAATGTATATTCTGCGTTACAGGGTGCTTTTGAATTCATGGTTTTATATTAAACTTTCAAATGAATTAGTCAATTCTCTGAGCGCTTACATATTTGAAGTTCATTTGGAAAAAAAAATTATAGCTTCCAAGACAAGAATTTCAAAGGTACTTATTATTTATGAAACAGTAATTTTTCCAGTGTAAGCAACAACTTTTCTGAATAATTTTTAATCGTATGATTTGTGTCTTTAATAGATATTTGATGACTTGTAGTCATTAATGTGCTTGGGGTAAAACATCCATTTTTTTAAAGTGCCAAAACACACAGATGAAGGACTGTGACGCTTCTTTTGGAAAATCAGCAGTTTAAAAGAAAGAGACATATAACTCGCTGAAAATTAGTGTATAGTCACCTTCTCCCTCTACCGTCACAAGCATTTTTTCTCCTTTATTAAAACACCTCTTCTTAACTTCTGAAGATGTAGCTGTAGACCTGCTGCTGTATCATGGCTGAGACCAGGAGCTTTGATTCCTGAGCTCTGCCAGTTGCAGGTGGGGAGGTGTAGGCTGTGACCTCCCTTTCCCGACGCCTGGTGCCTACAGAAGAGGCAGCTGAACCATGTGCTCAGCTCAAAGTGGCTGCAGTCCACCACCCAGGGTATTACCAGCTAGTTAGCGCAGCCTGGAAGAGTGTGCCAGGCCATCGTCTGCCCTACGTTAGGACATGCAAATCAGCAGAGCACATAGGAGCGCTCTCAGGTCAGGAGGGAGACTGCTGGTACCCCATGCAATGTTATTTGGTGGCTCTTCTCCAAGAACTTTTCTGATAGTCCCGCAGGTCCAGAAGAGGCCTGTTTGCGATCAACATTTTTTACCAAAAAAAAACAAAAGCCCCTTGAGGAATTAGGTCCTGTGTAATTAGGTCCATGTAGGATTTTCTCCACCTGGAAAAGAAAGGTAAGTTAAATGGGTACAGAGACATCATCTTCAACATGAATTATTATTCTTAATAATAAACTTTTTAAAAGGCACATTCACTGCTTTAACTCATTTTGCTTCAAAAATCTAAAACACATGCATGAGCTTAGATGTCACATACAGTGTTAGCCAGATAGAGTGGCAGAGGTAGAGAATGAAGTCTCTGAATTTCCCGATTCAATGATTTTAATGAAGAACCGTAACCTTTTCTCTTCACCTGTTCCTTTCCCTCCCTCCTAAATGGGAAGAGAACTCTGTTAGAAATTATATGTTTTCTTATGTGGTTTTTTGCCAGCACTGTATGTCCATCTGGATTGACCAAGAAAATGCATTTTCACATTCAGTCCAGAGTAGGGAGTTTTCCTCTTTCTGGTCTGCAGTTCACTCTTTCTGCTCTTGTTTTTCCAGGATTCAGGACAAGTCATTCCTCTCATCGTGGAAAGCTGTATCAGATTTATCAATTTATACGGTAAGCTCTGAAACATACTGTGTCATTTCATTATTGCCCTGACTTTTTTGTGTATCTTTTGCATAATGCATTTACCACCACAGCTTTGTTTTTAAAGAGATTAAAAGTGTTATAAAAACTAGATTCGTTTCTCACCACTGTCTCCCATCTTTGCTGCAGGTCTTCAGCATCAGGGAATTTTTAGAGTGTCTGGTTCCCAGGTGGAAGTCAATGATATTAAAAATTCGTTTGAGAGAGGTAATTGCATTTTCATTCATTCGAGCACCTTAATATCTGACATTTTAAAATCTTTTAAATTCTAACTACTTTCTTGGCTGTTTAAGCAGTTTGTATGCACGTTGTGTACTTTGCACTGTCATATGCTTAAAGATGAAGTATAATGATGACATCTACATGGTTTTGCCTTGTTACGTCCTAGGAGCTTGAGGTTGTTTTTCATTTTGTTTAGACAAGGCATATGACTCTTGAATCAGCTGTAAACTTTAGTCTTTTGTTAATGATAAACTGCAAATAATAGTTTGTCTATATTTTATTTTAAAGGTCCTCAGAAAGGAAAGATTATGTTTTTTAATTAGATTCAAGAGACTACTTAATGCAATTTGAGAACCCTGTTACTTGATCTTCTGGAATACAACTGCTCAACTTTCTGGTCCCTCTGCCAAAGTGGCATCACGATCGATGAGAATTCGGACTGTGAAAGGGTTGTTCCATTTTCAACCACTGTTTTTATTCCCAAAGGAAACTTCAGCCCCAGAGGAGAAATTATGGGAAAGATACCAGGAAGTGAAAACAGCTTTTTAAACATGAGTGGCTTGCAACACCCAGCCTAGGATTGCTCTGCTAGGGGAGCCAGGATCCCGCAATCCCCTAACTGTGTTAAAACAATACTACTTACAATTTTTTTTAAAATCTTACATTCTCTTTTCTTGGGTTTTAGAGGCTGCTTTTTTAATTTGCAGGAGAACCTTTTGCAGATCATCTGCTAATGAAAAAACCCTTGGAGCAATAAGTCCTGTGACTAAAAGCATGAGAAAATATGCACAGTATTTTTCTCCCCAGGATTAATTATATATCTTGTTAAACCTGATCTTGTCTTTGACAAGATATGTGAAGCAGCTGTTTTTACATGCTAAGTGAAGGCACATCCTCCTATTCTCCACCTTTTAAATCAGCCTTATTGCTAACTGCTTCTCCTAGGTAGCATTATTCTGGAAGATACACGTATTTTAAAGTGTTTGAAAATAAAGATTAAGTCTTTAAAATTGCACATAGTTCTGTCATGGCCTTTAGGGTTTCAATTCCCATACAGTGTTTTCACAGAATGGTTGCACGTATTCCTGAATGTTTTTGTTTTTCAGAATGAAGACAGATTTCCAATTCAAAGAGTTATCTAACTAGATTTGCTTTATGTAAGCTCCCAAAGAATAGTCTGAGAAACCCTATTCAATTAAGAACATTTGGCTTTTTTATTTTACTAACTGTAAATCATAACATGTCCTTAAATACTTAGTTGGAAGTTCAGGGCCTAAGAGATCACTAGGTTATGTAATTTAAAGGAAGCTTTATTTAGGCTGCCGTTTTTAGTTTAATCATAGCCTGGGATTTCTAAATCAGTGTTTATTATCTTACTTGAATGCTTGCATTGCCACCTCCCACACACTAAAAACAAAAAACCCCAAAAATGTCACTCACTTATAAAAATGTTGCATGCAAGAATGCTCCTGCATGTGTGTTTCATTCACTTTATTTACTTTTTAAGGTGAAAATCCTTTGGCAGATGACCAAAGTAACCATGACATTAACTCAGTTGCTGGAGTACTGAAGCTCTATTTCCGAGGGCTGGAAAATCCTGTCTTTCCTAAGGAAAGATTTAATGATCTTATTTCTTGTATCAGTAAGTAGAAATCTCTATTTCTTTCTCAATTGAATTTTACTTTCATATATACAGTAGCAGCCTGAAAAAAGAGCTAACTTCACAGATTTTTCTGAGACAATTTGTTTGCCATCTGTAACAGTCTGGGTCAGTTATTAGTCATACTTGCAGCTGTGGTTGTTCCCTTTTTCCAGTGGGATTAATGTACAGTACAACTCTTTGTTTAATAGGGCAGGAAGAATATCTTTTGGTATACAAGAGACAGTTAAATTTAAACACATTATTATTTTCCTCTGTGCACTGGGGCAGACAGAAGGGGATGAAGTCATGACCGTGCAAACAGAGTACGTTACTTTCCACAAAGCTTTTCGTGCCCCGCAGCTTGGAGTCAGTGCTGGTGAATAAGTAACCAACTGCTCGACATTGTGTGGTTCTGGACCTTTGTTGTGCTCAGCTTAAAACCCCCAGTCCAACCAGCAGGAAAACCCTTCAGTGCAGGAACAGAGGGGAGCAGCTGAGTGTTGTCTGCAGAATTGCCCTGTCTGCCTTCCAACACACAAGCATGACCAGGCTGTAATGGGATGCCTTGGAGGAGCATTGCATGGGTCTGTGCACTGCTGGTGTTTGTAGCCGAACTCAGAGAGGTTGTAGTAATTTAGGAAGTTCTCAGTGGATGAGTGAATTGCTGTGGCGTGCACAAAACCTCTTCCAGTTCACAGATCCCGGCAGATGTTGGGGAGTGGTGAGGCCAAGCCAACCCTCGGTAGGCTTACTGTTCCCTGTGGGTCCATTAGAAGTGATCAGAGGTGCTAGCTTTGTGGAAGAATTTCCTCCTTTCAGCCCTTCCTTTGTAACTTGCCTGCTTCAGCCGAATGGAGAAAGAGGCAGTTTCACAGGTAACGAGGGCCAGTCCTTTGGGATATTAATTAGGGTAGGCTCTCTCCAAACTGTGTTATTTTGGCAAAGGGCCAAAATGGCCCTTTGGTCTCAGCCCAGCAGCCAGGACCGCAGATGGATGTGTGCACAGTGTCCTGGGCTGGTCAGCAGATGGGCTTTTCTGCTCCCTGCCAGGGGAACCCAACGTGTGTGGTTTCCTTCCCAGATAGGGAGGATTGCAGTAATTCGGCCTGAAGGTTACGAATACGTGGATCGCTGTGACCAGGTCTATGTGCAGTATCTTGTGTTTCATTTTTTGCCGGATCTTCTGCAGCTGTTGCTATGTACAGACTCAGTGGTACTGAGGAGTTCTGAAGGACCTCAAAACCGCAGTTTAACAGTCAGATCCCTGATGCTGAGGGAGACAATGTCTCTTTAGGAGGCATATTCTTGGTTCTGCCTGAGTTCAGCTTTAGCTAACTGCCATGCCACAGCCCAGAATATGTCTGCGAGTCATAGAAATTGAAATCTAAAAAGGAATGGTTTTGACTGAGTGATTTTCTGCATGACAGGGATGATGGAACTTTACCTAATAATCTTGCACTGATTTCCATAACTTCTGGATGAATTAAAGCATGTCTGCTGGAAAAATTTATTGATTTAATGGCTTCAGTTGACAGAAAACCTACCACATTCTTGGATAAGCTGTTCAAATGATTAATCACTTTCATCGTTAAACATTTGTACCAGATTTCCTTTTCAAAATTTATGCTGTCAGATTCTACCCATTGGATCTCTTTATGACTTTATTATTTTGACTAAGCATTAAGAAAAATAGAAAAGGTGGTTCTTATATGTGGAGATGGTATTGCACTCTGGTGTGTTGAAGAGCTTTAAATAGAATTGTAAAATACCAAGAATGAGTATTCGGCTTACAGAGATTATACAAGTGAATGCTTAGGAGATGCAAAAATATTTGCCGAAAACAACCTTTTAAATGTGTTCCAAGAAGAGGAACCTGGATGATTTCAAAGAGTTTCCATTCACTATTAAGCTTCTGAAGACAGGATGGGGTATTTGGAAAGAGGGGTGGAAGTTGAATGGACTGAGCATGTGTACATGGCACCTGCACAGGCGGGAGAGATTAACCAACCTCTCAGAGCATCACTGTCTGAGAGGGTTCCAGTTCAGTTATCCCAAAATGGTCTTTTGTTATTAAGAACTTCAAGGAAAATGGCAATGAATACTAGATCCCTAGTACTAGGCCTTGGTGTCCTTAGAGGATGTCCAACTATTGCATGTTGAAGGTAGGCAGCAGATTATTTTCTTGCAAAAGAGTTGACGGCCTTTTTTTTTAAATAATAGTATCATCCAGCAGAGCTGAAATCAGTAACAACCAATAGCCTGAAACAAAGTCACTGCTTTTCCCAACCACATTTTTAAGTGGGACAGTTATTGGGAAAGAGGTGTTGCCATCTGATCCTGGTTTAGACTGGCTGAGGCTGTCATAAGTCTGGATTATCATCTCTACAACAGCTTGTCAAAACCAGGTGTAATGACTGAGTAGTTCTGCTAGGTTTGACTTCTGCTATTGCTGTTACAGAAGAAAGCAGAGGATTTTCTTCCTCGTAATGTGTTCTAAGAGTCCCAGATCTGTTTCTGGCAGATTTGGGGGGAAGCCAGGGGAGGATGATTTAGTTGTTGTTTGGTATGGTTTCCACAAGGTTATCTTTCGGGGCACTCTGAAATGGCATGTCAATGCCTTCCTTCAGCAGAGGGAGGAGAGGTAGGTTTGGAACATGGCAGGACAAAAGGGGTTTTCTCTTTGAGCACATTGGGGTGGGTTTAGCTTGTGTTGTCGCAGTGGGGATTTTGAATGTGGTGTGAGCAAAGAAAGAAACTTTCTTGTGCCTTGCACCCACAGCCAGCCCCAGAACCACACACTGGAAACAGTGTGACTGCATCTTCTGATTATCTGAGAAGCCTGGGGTGGAGTGTTTTTACAGCTGTGTACCTAGTCTATGCGCTTCGTTAAGTGGCCCACTACTTCCAGGAATAAGATGTTGGGGTTTTTTTAGAAAACAAACATTTCAGAATAAACTACCTGTCATGGTTTAGTTTAAATAGCACCTAAGTGGTACGTACTATCAAAAACGTCTGTCTCAAAGACCCTTGCCATTGCTACCTTTTAACCTTAACGCTTTATATATCTTGCAGAAAGGAGGACACTCTAGGCAAGATTTTTCTCCCACTTCAGACTTTGAACCTGTCACAGTTGCATTAGTTTCTTTTTCTGTGCTCATGTGGCCTCACATATTAAATATGTTGGTCTTCATGTTAATGGGAGCGGGGCCAGACTCCCTTTCCTCTGTTGGAACACACGTTACTGTAACTTCTTTACATCACAATTGATATGTGAAGTCCAGAAAGCTTTCACATTTTTAATTAAGAGGGTTTAAATACTCTTAATTCATATTGCATTCACTATCTGATAAACAGTGAGGGAAGAAATAAACATTAAGTTGTTTTCAAATAGTTTTTTGAAGATAAATATCAGTGTGGTTTTTTTAATCGTTGGCAGAAATTGTTATAAAAGGGGGGGAGAGAGAAAGCAAATTCACAAAGTTAATGTTCACATAGAACTGCAGAAGGGCAGAGTGTCACACATTTTATATGGAAATGTAATGTTGCCAGAGAAAAACCCCTTGAAACTGAAGTACTTAGTTATGGATGTCAAGCATAATTGAGGCTACAGCTGCAAAATGAACCTTTCCTCAGTACAGCCACTGAGGAATTCCTTTGCATTTATGCATACATTTCCAAATGAAATAGAGCATTGTGATTTAATGCTTTCCCTTTTGCAAATACAGTGGAATGGTGCAAAATGACTGTGACTTTTAGGGCAATTTGTATTAATTAGACTCATGAGAACAATGTTATTCTGTTTGGGCTTATGAACTGGCTTAGATAAAATTTGGGCCAAATTATGACTTCTCCAGAGCAAGCATGAAAGGTAGGACAGAACATAATCTATCTGATTATGGGCCATAATTCTGCATTCACAGCAAAAGGAGTGGCTACTATTGCTCCCAGCAGCACTCTGCAATCCAGAGGGTAAAATAAGGTGGGGGGAAAGGGAGGAGAGTTGCACTGTACTTCTTTTCTGCCCCTTTGTAGAAACAGGTTGGGCCAAACACAAGCAAAATATTTGTAACAGGAGTTACTTGTAGGCAGAGGGTACGGAAGCTGTGCTGAGGGCTGGCCATAATTCACCTTCACGGCTGGGGAACTGCAGTTCCTCTCCTGGTGTGAGTTCTTATACACGTGAATCACTTCTACATACATAGCTATGCAATGCAGCAGCAGACACATCTCAGCTACCCAGACAGCTTAGCTTCTGCTCAGGTCATTATAATTCTTCTTGGTTTATCTCCCTTGCCTTAAATTTGTTGATATACTAAGATGCCGGGAGGGATGAAAACTTACATCTTTTTTCCTTCTGATTTTCATCATTTCAATCCCTTGCTGCCAGCAGTGTCCATTTACCTAAAGGCATAAATGTTATGGAAGGAAATTATTTTATTGCTTTTCCAGACTATTGCCTATTACTTAAAAAGTAAAAAACTATATTCTGAATTGTCAACTCTTCCTGAAAAAGTTTCAACAAAATGACAACAACTGTTTCCTTCCCTAAGTGACAGTGGAGACCATTGTGTTTGTCCTCCAGTAATGCATTCTTAAATAGATCTGAAAGACCTGTAAGTGGCATTGCTGAGTTAACATACACATATATTTGAGTTGGATTGGACCCATCTACCAAAGTGGAAAGAGGCACAAATTGTTAACTTCAGCACTGATACATATTCATGTAATTTACTTGTCAGCTGCAAATTGACCATAAAAATTACATCTGCAAGTGTAACTCAATCCCATTTGACATTCAGCGGGTATGTAAAATACGCATTAGGCATTCACTCTGTTACTAGTAGGCACCATTCCAAGTGGAAGTAGCGAGTGACCCTCACACAGAGATACCACATTGGATTTTATCCTTCAGAACAGTGGTCCTAAAGGAGAGAGATAGTTTACATTACCATTGTTTGCTCTCTTTTTCCTCCTTTGTGCTACTCTTGCCTGTGAAATAT